AAAGCTACCATTCATTGTAAAGAGAATGAGAGTCTCTGGAGAAAAGGAAAGCTTCTGGTGGGAGCTTTTGTGAAGGAAAGAGGTTTTTCAAAAAAAAAAAAGAGAGTTTAGGGAGAAAACTAAAAAATAAAAAAAAGAGGAACTGAAAGGCAACTAGAAAAAGTAGGTGAAGAGAAAAAAGGTGTTTTGCCAAGCCAGCAAAGAAAAGAAAAGAAGTTTACACTCAAGAAAAATGTAGTTTTTTTTTTTTGTTTTCCTCATTTCTACTTGCATTTTCACGTGAAGTTGAAGCCTTGAATGTTCCCTATTAAAAAAAAAAAGGTTCAATAGATAGTTTCCTTTTACAAAGAATTGGTTGCCTTAGATTGTATTATTGTGGGATGTACCGAGAGCTTCATGCTCCCTCTTCGAACTTTAATGACAACCCTAAAAAATAGATCCTTTGTTTGCTAAAAAGGAGATTTTCAAAACTTATAGCCAAAAGATAAAATAGGGAAGGATTTTTAGTTTAATTTTTTATTTCTTTTTTTTCTGTTATTGCTATCTCCCCTGCACATGGCCTGTTCTAAAAGAGTGGAGCTTCATTCCTTTTTTATGCTTGATTTTTTTTCCTGTATAGATTTTCCATTGGTAGTTTAAAATTGGTTTTCTGGTCATGCTCATCATTCTCGTGCATTGTTCTTTAGCAGAAACCCAGGCTTCATCCCAACTGGCACATGTCCATGTCCTATTCCTGTGTGTGGCCTATGTATATTAGTTTAAGGTTTTAGCGTTTCCATATGTGCTTATCTGTTTTTTTGCATGTATTATGTTTGAGGAATGTTGAAATCCCATCATACATACATTCAGTTGTCTCGACACGGTGGCTATGCATGAAAGTTTAAAGTTTTTTTCTTTTTTACTGTCACGATTACCTTCGTGCATGAACTGTTGCCTGGTGTACTTGTTTGCTTAAAGCCTTAAGATTGTTCCATGTTTTTCATGATATGCACGGACAATATTCTAAAGCCAAAAACAAAAAACCATTGCCAACCAATGGCAGCCACTGTTTGATACTGTTAGGGAGTTTATCCGGCATTATCTTTTCCATTAAAAATAATGCTCTAGTTCTGATTTGGTTGTTTTTCTCCTTTCAAAAAGTAATAGAAATAAAACTTCTATTATTCCTTTCAGTTCACATGTTGTGTATATATGTATATATATATATATATATGTGTGTGTAAATGGCTTTTTTTTGTTAAAAGAAAAATGGAAGTGGTCCTTGGACACATCTAAATTTAGCTTTGTTCCCTATTTGGTTGTGAATTTAGACTTTTCCTGTTGCCTTCTGTTGCCTTTCATGAAAACACTAAAAGCCATGACATGGGGATCTTGTTTGTAAGTTTACATAGTATATTTCTCCTTTGCCCCCATTTTGTTTTGTTTAAAAGCATACAAGCCCAAAAGCTTCTCTTAAATGGAATTTTATAATAAATATTTTTTTAAATAACAAATAAATATAAAGTCTAAAGTTTACTCTCAATAAGATTTATTTCTGTGTATTTAATCTTAATTATGCCTATGCATATATATATATATATTCTTTTTTTTAGTTTAATTGTGAATTTAATTTTATACATTTGTAATTTCCTTATTGGTTGAATTCTTATTCTCTTTTAATTTAATATTCCATACTTATAATTTTTGTTTGGCATATTTTATTTTTCAGACATTTTAGGTTTATACAAAATGAATAATAATAGCAGCAATAATAATAGTAATAATAATTTTCTTAAAGAAAAAAGAAATATATGCAAAATATATAAGAATATATAAATTCATTTTTTAAGAAGACTCATAAAAATGAGCTTGCTTTGAAAGTCTACCTAGATATTAGAGAATTTTAGAAAGGCTTATAAATTCTTAAAATTTAAACCGAAATTTTAAATTGAAACCCTAAAATTAAAGCCCTTAAATTGAAACCCTATACCTGAAACCTTAAATAGGCTTTTGTCAAAATATTAGATTCAACTTTGCTATCCTAAACTTACCCAAAATGCCAAATCCTTTTTAAATTTTTAAGGAGTTACATGAAAGCCTTTTATAAAATAATTTGTTCTCAAATGCTGTTTAAATGTTGGGGTATTTAAGAAATTTTATTTCATTAAGAATTTTCATACATTTACGCAACTCAAAATAAATTCGTTTTGTTAAAACAACAAATATAAAATATAAAACAATAAAAATAATAAGATGAGATTTTAAATATAAAAGTCACACCCAAACTCTACCTAAAGGTTGGAGAGTCTAGGTGGTCTCTTTATATTTGAAAACTCGATTCTTAAATTTGTATTTTATCATCATTTACATATAACTCATTTTTAGAATAATGTGTACATTCATAATTTATATATATGTTTGTTGATATTTAATATTAATTATATTATTATTTTTTTACTGCATAAAAAGTTTTCTAAAAAATTTTTAGTTTTGAACAAATAAAATTAAAATAGCTTTCTATGAAATGTAATTGTTGGTACTCTATTTAGATATTGGAGAGTCATTAATGATTATCATTTACAAAAATATTATTTTATTATTTTTGAAGGAATGTGACGATAAATTTTAAATGAAAAAACTATCTTCGAATTTTATCTTTATGTCGGAGATTTTGAAAATATTTTTTTAATTTAAAAATTTTCATAATATTCCTAATAAATATTTTTTAAAACTATTTTTTTTTCTAAAATGAAGAGAATTATAATTAAATTTCATAAAAAAACCTTTTTATCTATAATTACAAATAGTGCATAATTAATTGGTACCAATTTTGTCGACATTGTAAAAGTATTAATCTTTTCTGACACGTAACTGACTCTAGAGTCTAATATATTTTGGTAGATCAAAATGATCTTTTTAATAAACTCTAAACCCGTTTTATCATTTTACTTAAAAAGATAAAATTTTTGAGTGATTAATCATACCTCAAAAAAATTTGGTGGCAATTTTTCTTATTTTTCATGAAATTAAAACTTTTATATTTAGTGATATAAAAACTATTATGTCAACTAGACGATTCTACCTTTTTTTTTATTTAAAAATATTTTTGTCTGATGATCTCAAAACTATTATAACAATATACATATTTAATATCTAGACTTAATTCAAACTAAATAAAAAATTATATTTGAATCGAAACAAATATTATAATTTTGAATTGATTTTTAATTTTTTCAAATTTTTTCTCACCTCTACCCGTAAACTTGAAGTGATCATTAGTATGTTTTCAAAGAATGCAATTGTTACTTTTCTGGATTAAAGAAAAAAACATACGGAGTGAAAAAATAAAAGAACACAAATTTTTATTTTTGTAATTTTTTCATATTTCATAATTTATTTTTTAGATATTTTCAAAATGTAATATTTTAAAATATAATAATTTTATTTACTAATTTATGCTTTTAAAAATAAATTATTAAGGCTGGTTATAGAAAAATATTTTTATTTTTATTTTTAAAAATATTTTTTATTTTTTATTTTTAAATTTTTGAAAAATATGTTTGGCACACAAAAATTAAAAAATATTTTCAAAAATGAAAATTATGAAAATTAGTTTAAATTATCACACAAAATTTAAATTTTATTTTCATTTTCCATTTGAACCCTTGATTAGGTTCACCATGGCTTGTTGGTTTGGTAGCAGGAACCCTTCCTTTCGTCAAACCTGAACTCGACGTCCCTTTCTTGAGGACGGACATTATGGTTTTGGTTTTTCTTGGAGGGTTTTGGTTGGCTCATGCGCCGATTACAAAGCCTTCCAAGAAAGCAGACTATAGCTAAAATAACAGTGATTACTGCCAGCAATATAAAAAGTGTTCCCAAGGATCCATCCAAGTGAGAATGAGATGGGGGTATTTGCCCTGACATAGTATTTGGATAAACGGCGACGGGTTGTCGTGTTTGAGGCTGCTGTGTTTGAGTCAATATTCTTTTGGTTGGTTTTTGGATTAAAAGATGATGAGATGCAATGAAATGGTTTAGGATTTTGTATGACCCTGCAGCTTATTATTCTTAGGGTGCAGACAAAGGGGGCCTTTGGGGTAGAAAGAGTAGAAGGAAAGACAAAACGGCAACGAGAATTCAAAAAAAAATTTTGCCGAGCAACCAATTCGAACCCGCGACATTTGTTGCAAAATTGAAAAAATTTTGCAATGCCGTGTTTTCGACTTCTCAATTTCTGTCAAAACGTATTCATTAGAAATGCTAAAAAACCAATTTTTTTTTCTTTAATTTTAACCTATTTTCATTTTTTTAAAATAATTTTTGTTTTTTCAACTAAACAAAAATTTCACTCGTCCTTTATTTTTTAGGAAAATGAAAATAAAAAAAATCATTATTTCAGATATATTTTTATAAATCAAATACAAACTAAGATTCTTACAACGAAATGTAAGTGTGTAAACTAATTTAATATAATTAATTTTCATTGATTAACGATTGAACTCAATTTTTTACGAATTAATGAAGGAGGGACTAAATCTAAGACTTCATTTGCTAAATTATTAAAAAAATTTATTCAATTGAAAAAAATAATATTTTATTTTTTTTAATGTGTTTGATAACACATTTTAAAATTTACTTAAAAAAAAGTCTTCAACTGCTTAAAAGATATAAAAACTCCAACCTCGTCCCTCTTTCCTTATCGTAAGGTTCTATCTCTCTTGAAATAAAAAAAAATTATTTAAAAAAATTATTTTAATAAAAAATATTGAATAAGTAGATTTATACCGACTTATCACTTAACTTAAAAAATATTTAATGAAATTTTCTTTTAAATTTTTTAAACTATTATCTGCTAAAAACATTACTTCTTTATTTGTAATAAAAATAAAAGTAAAATGATAAATAATACAGTTTCAAAATTCAATATCTTACTATTTCCAAATAATATATTTATATCCAGCATTTAATTTTCCATAAAATATCAAACAATTTTATAATTGAAATTCAATACTTATCAAATTTAATATTTAAATTTTCAATTTATTGATAAGATACAGAACCTAACATTGGGGGTCAATGGTACAATTTGACCAATACCTCGCCCCCTATGTCCTATTTTGGGCTATGTTTTACGTTGGGTTAAAGAAACCCACCTCCATACTTGAAAACCAGGGGCATTGCGCGCGCCCAAAGAAATTTCGTTGTTAAATTGGTCATTTTGTGAGAGCGTATTAGGGTGACGAGCAAAGATCCTTCGGTTCTTGCGTCTTTCGGAAAGAGTTAGATTGTAGACTGACTCAATTGAAAGCTCGAGATTCTAGCCGGCAGGGAGTATTATAAAAGATGGCTGACTTTGGTGAGTGCTTTGATTTCGTTTTTTATTTTTTGTCTTCGAACAGTTTTTTGTCTAAGCTCTAGAAGCATAAAATTTTGGGGTTTCTTTTTGGTTGAAGAGGGTCGATTTCAGGTTTGTTCTAGGTTTTTATACTTCAAAGCTTGAAATTTTTGAATCGACTAATTTGAAGATTTTAGATATGGTTCTGAGATTAATTCGAAATTATTGTCTTCTTTTTCTTATTCTTCTCTTTTCTTCGGGTGTTTTCACTTTGTTTCCGGAAAATTCTCACAGTAGCAAAGATTTGAGAAAAAGAGAAAAACGCATGCCAAAAATAGAGAATACAATACAGATTGCTGACACAGGAGAGTCAATTATGAGGTAGCTCTTGTTTTGGCCCAACGCAATGTTTATTCTGTACTCTTTCCATTGTCAATTTTACCTTTCAAAGTTGTATATTTTATACTTGCTCGTGTTTTGCCGTTTTCTTGTTACACTTGAGCCTGCGAATCATAGGATAGGCAAACCTAGTTCCAGCATGGAAGACAAAAGCATATTTCTCACAAGCAGTGCATTCAAGTGTCACAGTCACAGGTCTTTCAACAATGAACAATCTAGCTCTTATACTGACGATGTTCTCATCAAGGAGGAGGACGACAAGGAGAAGAAACCTAACACTCTAACTGGGCCTATTACCAGGGAGATGAAGGTTACAAGCCAATCTTATGGGAAGGAAAACTTGGAGAAGAAGATTTCAAGCCTACCTATGTCTCACAGCAAGGTATTGGAAATCATCACGTTGCGAGTTGCTATAAGAACCCCTCTACAAAATTGCAAACTTTTACAAATCTGGTTTGTTTTAGATTACTCCTGTAAGTACAATTATGCCAACTGTTTGGGTTTGCGTTTTTAAGACAGATTTGGAGTGTCTTGAAAGTAATTGATTTGATTTCTGTGTTGTCTTTGGTTGTAACTGTCTTATAGAGAATGCACACCATGGTTGTTGATATGCAATTGTTTGAAATAGAGTCTTGCCAAGAGCTAAAGAGAGACTTAAAAAAGATGAGTAGGCATGAAGAAAACCTTCTGATTCTAAAGGTATACGAATTTGTTATCTCTTTTTTGTCATAATTCATGTATTTCCAACTTTTTTTTTCATCCATGAACTAACTGAGATTTATCTTTATATTGTTTTAGAAATTTTTGAAAGTCAGAAAAGAGAAGGAACACAATGATCAAGGGGTAAGTGGCACTAATCTCTAAATAATTTTGCGGTATTGCTTTAATTTCATAAGTAAGCCAAATGCTGTTTTTTTTTCGAGAAAATATTTGTGTCTTTTTCTTGTAATAAAAAGCAGTGGTGCAAACATCAAAAAATAGGATTTGAAAGGTTTATTATGACACTTTATTGATTAGTGTCAGTTTCCATTTGAAGGTATTTTTCGCCACTTCATTTTCATTGAGTAATGACGTCAGTTGTGTGGAAGAAAGGGTGAAGCAGATGGCAACAATATTAGCGATGGTAACCCTACGACAATGGATGTTAAATGGTTGGAAAGATTTGGAAAGCTTGGCCAAATGTGCAAAAAAGTCTCATATTTATAATGCCCTTCAAGACAGCGTGTTCAAAAGCTTGGCCAAGTTTATTCTAAGTATTTTTGATACGGTACATTCTTTGCTTCTATGAACTTTGCTTTTTTCTTTATGCACAGTTTTATTATTTTAACATTTCTACGCTTAAGAGTTGATTGTCAAGCCTTAAGTGGGAACTGAAAAAAGTTCAATTTGAGGTTTGGTTTGCTTTTTGTTGGTTTTCTTATTAATATACTTATTCTTCTAGAAATTAATATTACTTTTATGGCTCATTTATCTGTCTTAAGGTTTATAAATGCAGTCAAGGTAGGTTTTTTAACATGTAAGGGTCTTTCCAATATGAGATTGGCTTGAACTGATGGTAGATCTTTAAAATGTTAAGGGATCTTTGTGTTAGTGAAGAACTAGGTTCTTGAGTAGTCTGCTCCTATGATTTATTCTGGTTTTCTTCTCCTTATTCTCATTTAAATTATTTATAATATGCTTTATTTCGATGGAATTTTCTTTTCTATTTTTAGTGTTCTTTGGCTTCTCTTATGGTTTTAATGCCTTCTTATTTCTGGTTATTAAACAAGTGCAGAATTCTTTGTAGTTCCTTTGCTGTTCTAGGGAGACAATTTGCTTATTTATTATTATTTTTTTTTGCAGGAAGATCTTGAACGATTCAACTTTTATAATAGGATTGTATCTGAAAACAAAAAATTTTATCGTGAAAAGTTGTTACCTCTACCTCTAGAGGTTTGTGTTTGTAGTCATGGTCCTTTGTTATTGATATATACACAACACACACACACACGGACTAACACGTGAATGCACACATGAAAATACATAGATATGCAGCTCAAAGACACTCAAATAATGCAACTTGCTAATTTGGGGTAGCTCACCATCAATGATGTCCTAGCTAATGATTTTATTTAAATATGTATGTGACATTATGATTAAAACACTATCCTTTTTTATAGGATTGTGATGACCCTGCGAAACTTATTGCTGAAGGGAAGATAACTCTAGATGGTTTTCCTTTGTTGACGGAGTATGATATGGATTTCTTATTGAGGTGTGTGTTTTTATTTATCTTTGCTAGAGGATGCTTTTATGATATCTGCTAATATTGTTGTATGACCATAAAATATTTGTACATATGCAGGAGTACAAGCTAAACTTTATGGCGCACATACGAAAATGGACACCAGCTGTAGTGGTATGTTGTTGTGTTTAATACAACAAGGATCTAGTACAATTGTTTTGGTAGTCAGTGTTGTGCTACGTGGGTTCTTTATGTTATGATCCACTGTTTTTACATAGTGGTTTCTGGTATATTTCTGTTGTTATTTTCTTTAAATTGTATTTGTTCAATGACCCATTGAATTATTTTTTGTTTGTTAAAACAAGATTCCAAGTAACAAGGAAAGCATCCAAATTTATAATTTAGATGCCAAAATATTTAGAATTTGTTGGCAACCTTTTTCCAAAAAATAATTTTCCTCTGTGGCTGCCAAATGTTAGAATTTATAACTGTTATTGAATCTTTCTTGTTTGGAAGAGTTTTGAGAAACCATCATTTGTATGATTAAATAGGTTAAATTTATTTTCATGACATCCTTGGCGGGGAAAACGCCCAATACCATTCATGTGCATTCAATTCAATCCTTGCTTGTTTTCATATCCAATCGTTCTCATTTTGGTGGGTTGGAATTTTTTAAGGGATTATTTTGCATTCTTCTGTTGAGATGTTTATGCCTTGTTCATTTGGTGTTCTATAGGTTGAGTTTATGAATTTTGTGACTATGAAATTGAAGGCTGTTGCTTCAAGGTACTAATACATTTATGATGAGAATTTAAGACATTTATTTTTGTTCTCTTAATCTATTATTTTTTTGAATTTGTGATAATTTTTCTTCTTGTTTAGAAAGGACGCCACAAACATTATCTGGAAATGGCCAGAACTGTGATGCTTCAGTTTGCTCCTTTGAAGGTAGGAGATTTTTTGTCGTGTAGATTTTGGTGGTCTTCTAATTTCTCTAGCTGTTAATTTATCTGGTTCTGTTTCTTTTGTTTTTTGTTTGGTACAAATTTGACCCCTTTGAGTTGGGCCAGCATGCAAAAAATCGATATGCACACGGTGTTTGGTTCTATTTATTCATTTTCCTAATTTGTGTCTACCATAGCATTTTCACATTATCTATGTGTTAAGAATTATGTTTAATCTGACTTCATGGGCTCTTACATGGACATGTAGGAGGAAACAAAGATGCATGCAATTACTGGAGACATGGTTTATCCTCCATGTTTTTGCATTACAGATGGCATTGCGTTATGAGCTTTGTGGATATTGGGATACAGGATATTAAGAAGCATTTTAACCTCTGCCCCGATTTGAAGGATATATTTGGAGGGAAGTAGCTTGGGAGAACAAACTGTTTCAATGCTTTCAGGCGGAGAGATTATGACAGGCGTACGTTTCATATGTTTGTGTTTAAAGTGGTGCATAAACTTATAATACATGAATATAATTGCATGCGTTTGGTGTATTGTGGGTATTATATTGCTTATGTTTAAATTATTTTAACACTTGACTTTTAGCAGATGCGACTTTTTTCTTGGGTGATTGGCTTCATGTCTTGAGTATGGGCCTTTTGGTTCATTTACTGATGAGGTCATCAACTTGATTAAAATTGCTGAGGCACGGAGAAGATATGAAGGCTACGATACATCAGCAGGCACATATCTTTTGGGCAGTTGGTTTGACAGGATTAAGGGCTTTGTTGAGAAAGCTTATTATTGGTTATAGATTGCAGAATTTAGTTTGAAGAAACCTGCCGCATATCCCCGTACAACTTGTACATGTCAACTCGGACTATAGCAATATTATTGGTAATTTTGCTTTATTTTGCTTTTTGAACTTGTTAGTATCATTTCTGCTTGTTGCCGCTGATTAGTAAATAATATATTTTCAGGTGATGAGATTGTTGGAGTGAGCATTTGATTGTTACCATTGCTTTTGAAGCGAATCAGAGAAGGCTGGATGAGAAGGCAGATGTTTCTCCACCTCTTGTTGCAGATGGTAGTGATGGAAAGAGTTCGAAAGCAAGAAACGTGTTCAAGCATTTTTAAATGGTGA